TCATACATATTATATATACACATATATAATATTTTTTCCTTGGCATAAAAGTTACTGACTGATTCCCAAGCAAAATAGATTTACAAAGTTTTGAGAGACCTTATTTGTTTAACAAAAAGGAAAAATTGGTAAGGGGATGAGGTATGACAGTAAATTGGAATTAAACATCAAATGCTATAAAATGAGTTCACAAGAAAGCAAGGCAAATGGCTACAAATTTTGGAAATTGGCAATATCTAACAAGGAAATATAACAATTAATGTTACATAAAATACTGTGGATGTCCTTTATTAACTTATAAATCCAATATTAATTGCACACTAAACAGTATAAACAAACAGCAAAATTTATTTTGTAATAACATGTAAGAAACGAGATTTTTGAAGTTACTTATTGCACCCATATTATTCACGGAAGCTTCAACTCCAATTTTACTTAATTTTAATTTATCTTTTTGAGACAGAGTTTTGCTCTGACACCCAGACTGGAGTGCAGTGGCATGATCTCGGTTCACCGCAACCTCTACCTCCCAGGTTCAAGTGATCATCCTGTCTCAGCCTCCCAAAGTGCTGGGATTACAGGTGTGAGCCACTGTGTCTGGCCATTCAAACCCAATTTTAAAATGCATGACAGTGATTTTGAAACTTTAATTCCTATGGAAGGTACATATAGATATTGTTGAAATGCAGATTCTGATTCATCTGGTGAGGCCTGAGAGTCTGCATTTCTAGCAAGCTTCATGCTGCTGCTGCTGGTCCATGCACCACACTTTGGATAGTAAGAATCTGGACTGTCTAAGGAAAAGTAAGCTGGATTTCTTGAAAGTTGTTGGCATTGAGCGGATAGTTACAAGTCTGTTTTTCTCTCTAATGGGTACATGGAGAATAACAGATCTTTCTGAAACTCAAATATTCAACTACTTACCCCTTCTGTCCAGGAAGTTTGAAAGAAGCAGGAGCAGAAATGAGTGAGTGTGCGCATGTGTACCTGTGTTTGTGTGTGTATACTCGGGTATACAGTAGTGCCTCCATACTTGCATTAAGGTAAGTGTGTCAGCAACTCTCCTGCGACTATCCTCAATTTAGACTTGCATTCATCTAAACACGCAAAGTTCAGAGAATTGTCAGGTCCAATATACCCTATCTCTGAGGTTAAGCCCCAGCTTATTTCACACATTTCAACATTTTCCATGTGGATGCTGTTAAGGTTGCCTGGAATTTGGAGATAAGCCCAGGATTAGTCCTGCTTTAAAGTCACCATGAAGCCTTGTTATAGGCCTCAAGTTAAGTTGTTAAATGTATTTCTCAGAGCTTACTGGAAAAAAAAAAAAAATAGCCACACTCACTAACTTTGGTAAGCTTCAGATAGCAAAACACAGCAGTGGTTGTTGAAAACTTACCTGCAGGCCTTCACCTTCATGTTTTTATAGACGGTGGACTTATGTTCTGAGGCTAAAATGACATTCTGTTACCAAGCTTGCTTTAGGAAAAATGTCTAAACTGGGAACTGCGAGATAGAATATTCACTTTTTTTTAAAGCATTTTGAGAACTAGGTCAATCTTATTTAAGCAGATTTTTCTAAATCACTTGGTAATAGTTTAGAATTATTCTGTAATTATCTAATAATTTGGTATTTTACTTTATTGATATGAACGCCACTATTATAGAATTTAACAATTACTATATACTTATACTTGTTGTAAATATGAATTCCAAGTAATTAGCAAGTGACTCATGCTAATGACATGTCTAAAATATTGGCTTTCCTATATTTTTGGTCATGTATAGTTATTCTACTGATCTGGAAGATGTAAAATATAAGGCAGTAATATTTGATTAAGTCTTGTTAAAGTTTAGTGCTTTTGGCCAAGGATCTTGTAGAATATCTGAAAAAGTTAGTAGTGCAAAGGTGGCAAATACTGAACAGAAATGAAATTGGGATGTATTTCTAAAAATAAATTTAAAGTGTAAAACAACAAAAAAAAATTAACTTCCTTAAGGAATCCAACAGAATTCCTATATCTTCCTGTATTTTAAAATTCATCTATCCTACTTAATCTGATTTTTAAAGAGTGGGTGAAAAGAACTCTACACACTATAGGGTTATAGTTTTGGGGAATTTTCTAAGAAAAGTATAAGTTAATTATAGCTTTTAACAGCACAGCTACAGATGTATCAGATAAAAAGGGGCAGAAAAAGTTTTTCTCTCTTAGAGGCCCTGTAAACAAGTGATGCCTTGGGGTATCTTCCTTTTCTTGTAGTAGTAAAAACAATCTTGAAAAGGATTCTGCTAAACACTCTTCTAAGGCCATGCATTTAATTTAGATAAATAACATCATCTCATTATTGATTAAATTCTCAGAATTTTATATTACTTCAATGCTTGTAGTAGCTTATTGGCCATATTGGAGATGTTTTAAATGTCAAAGCAGTCCTAATTTCTCCAAATATAAATTACCATGATACTCTTTAAATGGCCGCTAAATGAATTCTTCTGTTGATTCTGGTGATAGATAAATAAATCAATAAATGGGTAGATAGATAGAGAGATAGATTATTGCGGATCATATTTGATTAAATGAAGAGAATCTCTTCTCCAAAAAGTATAGACTATTTATACTACACCGGTAGGAGAGTATTTGGTGAGAAGAAATCAATAGTTGAGAGCAATCACTCTCTCATGAGCATGCGATTCACTCAAACATCCACGGCGGCCCTCCATCATAACCTCTCCATGGAGAGTCACTATCTTTCTCATTTTGATAAACAGAGACACTCAGAGAAAGTTAATTTACCAAATGTCATACAGTTAATGGTGTTGGGATTCTGACCTGTGTTCATTACACTAATTCTTTATATTTCTCATAATTCAGAAAGCAGGAATGATGCTTCTAAGTCCATTCAAGTGCTAATATACATCAACCAATACTCTCAGATGAGATTTTCATAATCCAAAGCAAAAACTTGGAAAAAGAGTCTTCCCTATTTTATATAATTTTAAAATTATGATGTATTATAAAATATTATAGAAGCATTTTATCACCTATTTCCTTCAAAATTTACTTTTACATTTGATTATAAAATTATACTTTCAACTTGATTGCTCATAAGAGTAGAATATCTCAATGAAAGTTTTACCTAAGCATTAAAGTAATGATTATCCCTTAGAAATGCCCATTAGGAAATTCAAAAGTCACCATTAATGTTCCTAAATTAACCATTTTCTGTTACCCCTTTCACTAATTACATTGACAGTCTACTTTCTTCCTAACTAACATGACATACAGAAACATAGTCCACCAAAGCTGCTGCTGTACCAAAGGTGACAGTGATTTAGAACCAAGAAAATGTAGGTGCCAGGATTTTCAACCTTTTCAAAGACTTTCAACTGAAAAATATCTCTGAGAAATATTTAACAAGACATGTTCTACACACCATAATTTCCTGCTACCAAGTATTTCTCACTCTATTACCCCCCAGGTCAAAATTCTACTATAATAAATAGTTTACCAAGATAATCAAAAGTTACACTGGCCTATTTCTCCTAGTACCAGTCAATCACAAAGACCATTCACTTGGCAATCCGCAGCCTCAGATCTTTATCCCCTTTTTCACTTTTTGAAATCAATGCTTTATTAACACATTAAGCACCAATCTTTAGCCTAAGGTAATAATGACTGCTGTGAAATAGTAACCTCAATTGGAATAAAAAAGTGAATATACCATTTACATTGTTTTTCAAATCTCTGAAAATTTCAGTTTTAGACAGTGACTATTATTAGGTAATATTAAATGCATGCCTACCTGTGTAACACGAGACAAAAACCTCTTTAAAATCAAACCTAAATGACAAGGTTGATAGTTTAAGGATTGAGATGGAGTCTCACTCTGTCACCCGGGCTGGAGTGCAGTGGTGGGATCTCAGCTCACTGCAACCTCCACCATATTAATAGTGTAGTGTCAAACAACCTCATTTCTGTCACGTAAGTCCCAGTATCTACTGATACCAGGCAACCTCTGGATCAGTATTTAAAAGGAGTGTATAAAGACCAGTATTTTAACTGACTACCTCTGTCAAAGAAACTTTACAATTAGCACATCAAGCAGTCTTTTGAAGAATTTTTGAATACTATGAATAAAAGATGTTTTGGTGACAAATAACATTTCCAAAACTTCAAATTGACATGAATTCAAACTTCCAAAACTTAATTAACCCATGTGATCTCAAGCTGTATTCTCTTTTGAGGCATAAGAATAATATTCAATCAAAATATTTTACTGTCATCCTTTCTAACAGATATACAGTTAAGTGTAGCTCCTTCATGCAATAAAATATAAGGTAAATTATAAAATGTACTTTATAGTATATTTATACAATAGAAAGTAAATTACAAAATTATAAAATTTTTATAAGGTAAGTATAAAATTATAAAAGTATTAAAACTTATGTTAAATTTTGTAATATACTATTACACTAGATTGTTTCTGTTATTGTTCAGATAGATAAAATAGCTAGAATTACCAAGTAAAAATATGTACCTGTGTCCCTTATAATTTCTAATATTTATGAAGTAACACAAGCACAGCCTGGAGTATGTGTCATACTGGTAAATAATAGAGTAGATACTTTTCAGAAACAGGAACAGATTTTATAGTTCTAACTCAAATATTTTACCATTCACATGTACTTACAATAATATATTTTGCAGTGTTGGTCCTGAAGCTGAAAGTAGAATTTGAGGCATTTTGCCAACACCTGTCTAATTTGCAACAGAGATTGTAATGCAAATTTCTTATACATTACCAAATGAAACTGATAGCTTCTCATTAAGTTTCTTTTGCATTTGGTCAATATTTTACGAAATCACAACATAGATAAAACTTCATAATCGCCTTTCAGATGGAATCAGAAAGCAGCTCCCATTAACTTTTTTAAAAAGTCCTTAATGATTATGTGAATGGTAGCAGAATCAGATAAAATGTTATCAACTGTATCTTACCTCTCTCACTGAAGTCATCTACTAGAATGATTTCTGCTATCAGACTCTCTGGCGTTCGGTTAATTATACTGTGTATGGTCCGCAGGAGTGAAGTCCAACCTTCATTATGAAATGGGATAATGATGCTGGTGTTTGGCAGCCTTTCCAGATACATCTTGTGCTTACAGCTGGAGATGAGGGAAAAAAAAAATGGTGTATCAAATGCAAAACGCTTGTATATCTTATTCTGTTGTTTATTCATTATGTTATCAGACAACTGTGGAAACACGACTTGGTCTAATACTTTCCAACCAGAGTTTGTACAGCATGATTGTTATTCTGCTCCTTCATGGAATGTATTAATGATCTCCTTTCACACTCACTCTTAATGAAACAACTGTTTTATCCTCTTTGGTATCAGGGTTTCAAATTCATCAGTTTGTTGAAATGTTGTGCTCTTGTTGATGTACATTTTTCCTGTTGTTATATAATAGAAATAAGGATGAATAATATGCTTTAAAACTGTTTCCATGGAGCACATAATTAAGATTTAGATGGATTTCCTGAAGAGATCTAAAAATTTAACTTCTGTAATATTTATGTTTAATTAGTCAGTTTTAGTCATGGAGTGTTTCAATGGCTGGACAGTATTTAAAGCCTGAAGGGAAAAACAACCATAGCCTCTAAACAGAATAAATTAAAATTTAATTTAAAATAACTGTTAACTGAGCACAACCACATAATAAGATTAAATTAAGATCCAAATCAAGATGTTATCACATTCCTAGTGAAAACTCTAAAAAGAAATCTCAAGTTCATTTTTTTTTCATTGTTGGAACCATCTGAGAAGATGAAAAAGAAGTATTTTAAAAATTGTATTCCTTTATTCATTATTTAATCTAATAATTTATTATTTTTAACAATATTCATTAAACAAGTAAATTTTGACATTTTCAGACAATGAAAAGTGTTTGAAAACCCATCAAAATTATAACATGATATGGGCACAAAAATGCTGTAAAAACATGAAATTCATTTTAGGATAACTTAAATATCAAAAAATATATATAATATGAAAAAGATCTGTCAGTAATTTCCATGGGAGTGTGGTAAGATAGATGTTTTTGCTTATAATGCACAGATCTGGAAAATAGTGTTTCTGAAGTTCAGCATACCTGGTCATAACTATGTGGAGCCATTGATTCTTCTGAACAAAGCCAAAGAGCCCAACTAATTGTGCTTTGATATATCAATATTCATAATGTTGCACCTACTTGTGAGAACCATCACACCTCACAATGTCCTTAGAATGAGGGTGATATTCCCAATGAAGCCATTTGTTTTTTAAACATCAGGGCAAGCTATTGTACATATCACTTGCCTATTAATTAAAGAGGACTTGCATTCAGAGTAATATCGTATAAACCATCAACAGGGGCCAGGCACAGTGGCCCATAGATGTAATCCCAGCACTTTGGGAGGCTGAGGCAGGAGGATCACTTGAGTCCTGGAGCTCAAGACCAGCCTGGGCAACATAGCAAAACCCCATCTCTACCAAAAGTAAATATTAGCCAGGTATGGTGGCACACACCTGTCATCCCAGCTACTCGGCTGGCTAAGGCCAAAGAATTGCTTGAACTCGGTAGGCAAAGGTTGCAGTGAGATGAGATTGCACAACTGCACAGTCCAACCTGGGTGACAGAGTGAGACTGTCTCAAAAAAAAAAAGGAAAAAAGAAAAAAATCAATAGGCTCATGACTTTTCAGAGTCATATACAATCCAATCAGAGAAAGGGTAGACAAAAAAGAATGCAAGACCAATCATGTGTGACAAAGGCTTTCTCTTTCAAAATGTTTTCGATAATTTCTATCTGCCTAAGCTCAAATTACTATCAAATTACTGCCACACACAAAATATAAAAGGATCCATTCTATTCATTCATTCATTCATTCATTCATTCATGTCACAATAATTTACTGAAGATTTGATATAGGTCAGGCTCCAAAGTTGAGGTAAAACAATGAACAAAATGACATTTATATTATAATGAGAGATACAGAAAGACAAATAGTTACAATTTTAAAATGAAATGGATAGTGTAGAAGTTTAATAGAGTGCTATAAGATTATTTGAGAGAGGCCCATAAGCCAATTTGGAAAATGTAGAAATTCAAGTGAGAACTGAAGGTGGCCTGCAGAGGACAGGTTCAAAGTGTATGTAGGAAGATAATTCACACGATTTGGTAACTAGGAGATGTGATTAAAGAGGAGTCTTACATTTTGGACATGGGCAACTGATCCGATAAAATACAGAATGACAGAGGAGCCTGTGTGAGGGACGCACTGAAGGTTTCAAAGATTGAGAGCAACGATAATGAATTCAATTTTGACCATGTATTGTTGAGATGTCAAAATGACATCCAGTTGCAATGTAGCTTTCATATATCACATACACACCTATCTGTCAATTTAGATGTCCATCTATCTATATATATGTGGGTGCATAGCTCAAGGTAAAAATCTATTTTGCTGGGGGAAGAGGCTCATGAGAGATAAGCTCTAGTAGATGACGCTGGTGCATCAATGCCTCCTTAGCACTCACCATTCCAGTATAAGCCAAGAGGGTCCTATTATACATCTCTGCAGATAGCAAAGTGAGTACTTTGCCTCATCTCTGCACAAAGGGCAGATCAGAAGTTCTGGGAGAAATTAATTCCCCTAGAGCAAGTATCAACCAACGAATAATGGAAGTTAGAGAATAAATAGTCACATGGTGGGATAACCCTGAGGTGTGTTCTATATTTTCTCCCATAGTTTCCCAGCAGGATTACACCTCAGTTGCCCACAGTGATCAGTAGTTTGACAAGGCATCTTTTACTGGTTACTTTCCCTTTTCTGTCTTCCTTTTTCACATTGCCCGCACCGCACCACTCTACATTCTGTGATTACCTCCTAAACAGTATTATAGTCAAATTTTTGTTTCAGGGTCTGCTTCCAGAGGAACCCAAACTTAGACATAGGCAAATAAGTTATACCTCACTTGGTGGGAACAGTCTCTTGAATCAATGTCCTGGTCAAGATTCACATTAATCAATGTGCTGGTCAAATAGGCAACACTCTTATTTTTGTTGAGTTGGGAAGGTTGCAGTTTGTTATACTTGGAGATAATTTTAAATAAGTTTTTAAAAAACAGTGATCACACATGCATTTCATCACTTCTTTCAGCTTTTGAATTATTACTGGTGCTCTACTCAGAGACGTCTCTAGGCCTATGAAATACAACTAAGAAGACTTTACAGTGGATACATAAAAATGGTCTCATCCTCATTAGTTGATTATTAGTAGTAACACTGCCTTTTTACAGTGACATCTGTAACTTATTTTTCAATTAGACTACATTATAAACTCCTTACTATTTCATGCCTGATGATTATGTATCAAATATTGAAAAGTCACATCACACTTTTTGATCAGACTATCAAGGTTCAAATGATAGCTTTGCCACTTACTGTCTGTGTGACAATGGGCAAGTTATTTACCCTCTGTAAGATTAACTTTCTCACACAGGATAATGTGGGAGCAAGAAAAAAAAATACCTCTTTATAATGTGCTAATGAGAATTAAATTGGGTCATCTATGTAATGTACTTCATATAGCATCAGAGCTAATAATAGCAAGAATTTAATAAATACTGACATTATTATGGTCATTGTTGTTTATATTATTTCATTGTCAAATCCTCTGTGGAAGAAAATGTGGAACTAGTAAAGACAGGAACTGCAGAAGAGACAGTGAGAGACATTTAGCATACAAAGATGAATACATTTCAGTCTCTTCCCTTAAGGGTTCACAGACCAGTGAGCAGATATATAAAATGATTAGACTCAAAGAAGACAAGTGACATAATAGATGGCACATAGACATTGAGAGCCTGAAGGAAGTGTGACTAACTTTGTCTGAGAGAATTAAGGAAATCTTTATCAATGAGTCTGTATGTGGAGAACAGATCATGAAGAATCTTGAAAATGATTCTAAGGAATTTGGATGTTAGCCTGCAGTCAACATGAAGTACTTCAAATATTGTTAATCGCAAGGAAGACTGGATCGTGTTTACATATTCCTTTGGCAGCAGGGCAGACAACGTGTTGCAGATGGCAAAGACTAGAAGCAGAAAGATTAGCCCTTGTAATAATTCTAGCAAAAAATAATGAAGGTGCAGATCTGATTTTCACTCGAAGGAAAGCCAGCTCCTTTGTAAAAGCACTTAATCTGATTGAATTATATTTGGTCATTCTAGCACTTAAGCTGCTCCAAAGAAAAACTGAATCACTGCCAACCTCAGGCATTGGATTCAAGAAGTTGTGATCCAGATGACTACCTCATAGTATTTCTAGAAATAGTGAAGCATATCCAGGGCTTTATTAAGGCTCTGCGCCTGCATATTTTAGGTTTGATGTCAAGTCAGGTTGAGAATAAAAGTTTACAAATATGAAGATGATGTACCAATATGGAACTGAGTTTAATAAATAAGTAAAATGAAGTCAAACACAATTTATATGCTTTTTATGGTTACAAATGTGTATAAATTCACAAATAGAAGAAGAAAATAGGGACAAATGAAAACATGTGTTGAAATAGGTTTCTAGGAATATGGGTGTAATTATTGCATTTCATATTGCTGTATTATTTTCAGATAAGCATTTGCATAAAATTACCTTGCAGTTTAGGAATAGCTCAGAGGTAAGGACATCTCTTTGTTGAGTTGTAGTTTATAATAGATGGATAAAAACTAATCCTTCAAATTTTAAAAGCACCAGGAAGACAAAAGATATAGTTTGAGTTATTTAAAAATTTACTTGAGAGAAATGACAAGTTGTGAAGGCATTTAAAAATCTGAAAAAAAAACCCTAAATTATTTTGTAAACATTCTGCTAGACCTTTCAAAGTAATGAAACCTCAATGGCAAATTTTCTCATATTCTTCTGTTTTTCCAAAACAGATTAAATACTTTCTGATTTTTTATATTGGCATTTGCTAAACTGAAAGATTTTAAAAATATAGTTCAATAGTATTGTTTAATGCATACTTAACATTTACACCTTTCATGGTTACATTAATTTATCTTTATTATTTCATTGATTTTATTAAAATAAGTGTTTTTTCCAACAATAAAAAAGGCCAAAAATTTA